TACTTCCTTTGTGGCTTACAACTGAAAGGGGTGGTCAATGGTAAATGCAAGACTTTGTAAGAAGGGAAGCCTGGCATTTTTCTTTGCAGGCCCAAGACATTTTGACTTCTTCAATTGCAAGATGGAGACTTCAAAGTGTTTTAAACATGAGCTCAAGATGTTAAGACATCATTTATGGAAAACAAACAAACAAACAAACAAACAAACTGTGAGACAGTTTTGTGAACAATCAAGACTGCAAGACACACATAACCACTAAAGAAGGAGACTGCAATACCCGTGAAATTCGACAAAAAATCTTGCAAGACCTATGGTTTTTGAAGGACCATTCGCCACCACTACTGATCAAATTAAAATCATAATTTTTTTGACATACACTGAACCATACGTCATGTACCTTGCCAGGTGCTACCACAAATATGGAGGCAGAGTTTAACCTCAAGTGCACAAGATCTTTACTACCAAGATATTCCAAGGCTGATGCAATCTGAGTGATCATTTGAATTACATTGACCACTGACATGATAAGGTGCGACCTGGCTTCAAGGATGTTTCCATACTTTGCAAAATCTGTGACCTGTGGATAGAATATGATGACTACTGCTTAAAGAATAACAATATAATTTTTTATTATAATAATTAATTATCTGTTTCTTCTATCTTTTGTAATGATCTGTGAGCTAATCACCAGGGCTGTCAAAAAGGGCTGGGTTGTAAAGGACAATGTTTCCTGCCTGGTTTGACCATTTAGAGGAAGGTTTTCTTTTAAAGAAGTTCAGTTCAAAAAGGTTTTATTTGCCTTCCTACTGAAAACAAAAATGAAACCCCTGAATCATGGCGATCTACTCAACCTAAAACAGAAAGAGTGACAATCTTAACTACAGCCTGATGAAAAATCACTATTTACATGTAGGATGCTGTTTCATGATTGGCAGAATATTGCAGGCCAGGCCAGGCATTCATTTAGTTGGGACGCAGCGCAAAAACAGCAAGCGCGAAAAGGAAAGAGGAGTAGTCATGTTTTGGTTCCTTCAGGCAGTCTATAAGTGGGCAGAAGGATATTTGGTAAGAACGTTTACAGGCATTCCCTCGCCTTCCTACATGTACGCTGCACCTCTCCTTCTATTTGTTTTTTTCCTTGCTCATGGTTTTCGCACCAGCTGCACCCCAACCAACTGAATGCCTGGAAGAGGCTACACTGACATGTATTTTGTTACCAGAGCAACAGAATCGGTGTACAATCCTGGTAAAACGACTCCATAAAGATGAAGGATGTTCTCGTGATTCAATGAAGTTGCTAACTCGGCCTCGTGAAGGAAATGCTTCCTTTGGGACTGGCCTCGATCATATCTCAATGCCACTTGGATCTGCATAGTTAATGAAAACCCTTGTTAATCAACTAAAAGTAACCCTAAATTGAATGAAAAGGCAACTTCTCTAAGAAGCACTTGTTAAGAAACTCTGTTGATTTAATCAAGAATTGAAAGAGCCTCTCAAATCTAGCCACATTGGCAGAGTCACCACTTAATGATTGCTACCTAAGTGTATCCCTGAAGGGACTGCATAATAATTAGTCAGGATACAAAGACGACCCAAATAATGAGAGGTTGATGACACTTGACATCCTCCATCACTTTTTGCTGAAACACAATGATCATAACCCCTTTAGCTTGACCTCTGGGAAAACACATTCAGAGACAGTGAGAAATGTTTGCAGCTTTTTTCTGATCCAACCACTAACCCGTAATTTAGTTCTTGCATTTTCCCTCAAAATTCAAGAGCATGGAGCAGGTTATCACCAAATCAGTGTAACGGTACACATGCTGATCGCACCTTCTCTCCATCCGGCTTTGTCCAAATAGCTTTAAGCACAGTTCCTGATACTGGTCCTGTTGCAGTCTTCTTTATAACTTGAATATCATTCACAGAAATAAATGGAACTCCATGGGATTCTAACTGCGCCTTGTATGGGAGCTTTCCATGTTTCTAGAAAACAAAATAGTTTAGTATACATAATTATGATAAGCCCTGTCTTGTCATTCTTTGTATCACTATTTTTTGTGCTGTAATTAATTAGCTATGTCCTGTATGTTTTCAAGGATAGCCACTTTATAATTATTATTAGTATATACAGGTGTCCACGATTAGCTTACTGTTTACAGTAAGCTAGAAGTTTTTGACACGATAATAAAGTTATTCATTCATTCATTCCTTCACTGTTTTCCCACATAATTATCATGAACAAACAACTGGAAATGGTCCAAAATTTTTATATGGAAAATAGGAGATGAGACTGGAATTTTCAAACAGATGGGAGGGGTCAATAACAACAACACCCTACCTTGATAGAGGTACAGATATTATTCTAGAATAAAACAGTCAGGAAAGCTCAACTGCTCATAACGTGGAAGGAGGGGCAGGGGGGGTGGGATTCTGGGTGAATAAGGGGCAAGAGGGGTTCAGCAAGCAGAAGGAGAAATGGCAGGACGCAGGAATTCCAAGAGGGCAGAAGCAAAACACTAACTTTTGCAATTTAATAATTAAGACAGGCACCCAAATTGTTCTTTGACTTTCACTCAGAAACGCCTAAGAATTGCACAACTTAATGACTAAAATTATTTGTTAAGAGTTTGCTAATTTACAAGGGGATGGGAGTAAGATGGAAAAGAGAGGGAGATAGCAGGTAAAGGTACACAATAAGGGAGAGCAGCGTATGACAAGCAGGAAGTTCTGACCCCCTGTCCCCCAACTGTGACTGTAAACAAACAAAATGGTACACTACCTTTGCCAAATAAACAAAATCAGTTGTTTTTGCTTTTTCTGGCAGCTGTCTCAGTCGGTCCTTTGCAAAGTTAGGTAGAAGTCTGAATCTTTTCAATTTTTCATCATCAAGTTTACTCAGATCAGCAAGGGAATGGATTTGCAGGTCATAGCAGAGCACATTGAAACTGTCTTTGAGGTTTTCCTCAGCAAGGAGAAGGTAAATCTTGTCAAGGTCAGTTAGATTAACTTCATGATTGAAAGGAGCCTGCAAAGAATGTTAGCAATCACCAGCGAAAGTTGTTGATTTTCAAAAAACACAGCTAGATTAGAGTTGCATAAAACAAAGAGGAAATAATTGCATTTTTCTCTGGCCTTACATCATCTGACTTGGGTAATCTTGGAAACAGGATTGACTTCTTCAGCTTTTTCATCGTATGGACAGCACAGTAACCTTCAAATCAAATCTATGGAAAATTTAATGTGCTAATGGCAGTCTATATTCTAGGTGGCAAAGAATAGGGCTTAGCGCTTCAAGATTCCAAGACAGAGAAGGGAAGACTCTAGGACTCTATTATATTGCATCCTGACCCAAGTAGCCTTTCCTAGAAATATGCCGGGTACTGGAGTTATGACTTGGAAAGATTAATTGAAGTGGTCAGTGCGAATGAGAACATATGATTAGGTACAGATGTGTGCCCCATATTACTTGAACAAGAAACCCTATAGGAACAGAAATAGGCTTTTTTATCTAGGTTCCATGAAGAAAGAAAAACTACCTCTCGATTCCAAACAAAATCGAGGCCCTCCACTGCCCCTCCCATCTTCCACTATAAACTGGATGTATGAATTCTCATTAAGGTAGAGGAACCCGGGAGGCCATTGGAGGGGGGGGGGGGGGGGGGGGGGGGGG